ATGTATTTGAGGGAAATGAAGAAAGCAAAGAGAAGATGGAGCAGAGAGGGACCTGAGGTCCTGCAAGCTGAATTTGCTGCTCTCATTGAATCAGAAAGAAAGAAATGAGAAGGCCCAAGCTCTCTCCTGCAGCAGCTGCTGCTGCCACCTTGACATCCAGAACCAAGGATGGGTGAAAAAGGTAACAGTATCAGGGCAGTTTTGCTGCCTACTTTACTCAAGTCAGCTCTCCTGGAGCCCTTCTAACCCTCTGAAAGGTTTTGTTCATGTTCCCAGCTGCTGTAGATGTATATTTACTTTGTTTGAATGATGTGTCCTTCCTGCATGCTCCCACTTGGCCAACTGACCGTGAAAAGACACTCAGCAACAAAGCTATTCACTGCAACTAGATGTTTTGCTTGAGAAACCCCAAAGCAGAGATATGATCTGAAATTGTGCATCTATCTTAAAGCAGAGACTTAACTGTCAGGGTAGAGTCAGGTTATCTGTATTACAGAAGCCAGAAAAGTAGTCTAATGTACAGACAACATTATTTACATTATGCATATATAAGCCTATGCACCTTCTTATATCCACAAGCAATATTTGGGTTTCTGCCACTTCTGTTCCACAAATGGCTTATTGGCTGGATTTTTAACCAAAGACCATTTGCTTAAGAAAGCAAATGATGAACCATCAAACAGAAGTATTTACTCACACCCAAAAAAGTGATTCAGAGATTTGTTCATGAGAACAAGCAGACAGAGGAATTTGAGGAGTCAAACAGCTAAAGCACCTAACATTAACAACTGCCCTGAGAGCTGCCAACCAGGAGCTGTTTACAGAGATGCTCAGCATGTGGCTATGAAACACTGACAACAATTTTACATTAGGAAAACGAATCGACCAGTCCTTTTCATTATAGGAAAAGCAGATCACTGGAAAGACTGGGATGTCCTCAAATGGAGATTTTTTTAACTTCAGTCTCATCATGCAGGTTTAGAGGACCTTGCTTTTGGCCAGGAGCATCACAGACCTCTTGAGATTCCTTCCATTCCTGAGAGCCAGTCATATGTAGCTCACTTCTCTCTTCTGCCTGGGCTGCCTCACCTTTTTAGAGATATATATTTCAGACTTTTGAAACTGAATTAGCCTGATTTATTAAGTGTTTATAGGCATATTTTGTCCTGAATAAAATTACCTCAATGTCATCATGTGGAAACAATGAGGGAGGAAATTCATCCAGACAGTATTACAGAATTTCTACGCATTTCCAAATGGGTGCTGTAAGCTTTTCCTGACAGCAGACAGGTGATAGACCAGTGAGTCCTTAACTATCAGGCAACAAGCCTTTCTTTCGTGATGGCAGTCACAAGAGATGGAGGGGAAAGTGTTCACATGAAGGGGGGAAAACATCGGATTTTCTTCTTATTTAGATCAATTCTCTCCATATGTTAAACAGATGAAAAAAAAAGCCCTCTGTTTTAATACAGTAAATAAACCAAACTGCCACCAAATAAGCACTTCAGATTCTGCAAGACCCCTCGTAACTGTGACACATAACGGAACGTAGCATTTCAAGTTTACCATAGTTGAAGATCCCCATCCTCCCCAGACTAGTTTTTTTCTATTTTAGCATGAACATTCATGTTCCTGTATATTCTTTTTCACCCTTCCCTAAGGTCTCTCTCACCCAATCATTTTAGCATGATGATAATTACAGCCAAGCCATGGAATGAAAATAGAAGGCAGCTGGTAAGATGATTCTGGACGTCATCCGGATGCAAGTGAAGCATGAGTATCTAATTCATTAAGGGAGCAAGAGGATTAGGGTGGTGCTAGGCATCTATTCTGTTTAATTTGACATTCCATTAATTTACTCTCTCAATGGACAGGACTGGAGGTGCAACATAATTATAGCTCAGAATCTGAGCATATCTGAAGACTTATTACTTTGATGGCAGTTGGCTGGGGGGAGCATAGCAAGAGATATCAGCAAACTTTGTGCTTGCTGTACGCATTACACTTCAGTAATAAGCCGTGTGTGGGACTGGTGGAGTTCACCTTGGAGAGTAAGGATGCTGCCTCTGTGTAGCAAATGATCTTCCAAAAGGTTTGAGAGCAGAAACTTTCAAGGACGCCTCACAAGGTGAAATTATTTTGTATTGGTCAAAACAACTGCTTTAAAACCTGGATGGAAGATGCATGATATTAATTTTCTTCTTAGAGTGAATAGCATTGCTGAAAATGCAAACCCCTGTTCCCAGAGAGCCTCTTTTCTTGCATAGCTACTTAAAACAGTCATAGTGATTCACAGATCAAATTTTACTGTGAATGAACGTTCAACCACAGCAAATCCACAGGCCCTGCAGTTTTGACATGCATTCAGCCTGAACAGGCAGTGTGCACATCCTACTGCACCTCCAAACTGCTGCTCTGGAACATGCAGGATACCACGTTTTCACAGAAGCTCTTGGGAAAAAGAAATATTGCAAAATATCTGCTCTGTCACTTCTAGGTATCAAAATAAACAGCCAGGTTTTTCAAGAGCTCTCAAAACACATCAGCAATTTGGGAACCTGAGAATTTGAAAAGTTGTCCCCAGTGCTTTACAACACTGAGAACAAACCCTTTAACATGTCTCCCACTTTAGCTCAGACCACCACCTTGAAGTCACATCAGATTTTATTTCTTTGGTAAAGAAGAGGTGTGAAAACAGATGTAATAGGAATCCCCGCTAATAAGTTTCTCACAGAAAAATTTGGATCTTGATACCATATTGACTTAGTCTATTGGACACTGCTGGCTATCACAGATGCAGCGTTATACTTGAGAGAGAAGCTGACTCATTAAAAATGACAGAAGTCACAGTACCTAGACATTTAGATAAACTTAGGATGCACAAACAGACAGACCTTTTAACTCCAATTTAACTAGCTTAGAGCTGGCAGCCAGATGGACAGTATTAGAGACAGGCATCCTCAGTTAAATCACACAGCAAACAGAGCATCAAGAACTTTGTAGTCACTGTCCGTCGGATCTAGGCTCTGTGGGAGTCAGAGGCTTGCTGCATTCAGATTGTAGCCCCCGGCAAGGCAATAAAGAGAAGTGACTGTTACCTTCAGTCCTGCAATACATTCAAGGGCCTGTTGGAACTGAATCAAGACATCTGAAGAGGTAAAACCCACCTGGCAGATGAAACCAGTGGATGAGCACTGCCGAACCCAGAGGCTGAATTTCCTCTTTTTCCTCTTGCGCAGCTCCCTCTCTGTGCACGTGGCAATGAAAACAGGATCCTCGTCAATCAGGGGTTCATGTAGTACCTGCAATTGGCAAGAAAAGGGGTGGGTGGGGGTGTGTGTGGGTGACCAACAGAAGAGTACATGATTGCTGAAAAAAAATGGTGGTTTAAATTCTTCCAAGGAAATACAATCCTTGCATTGTGCTTGTGTGCATCACCTCACACAAAGAAGCAAAACCACTTTTGTTCAATGCTGCCCTGAGGGGGAAGTAGTCCCAGCAGGCCATAATTCACACCCTTTTCAAGACATATGTAAATAAGTCAGATGGCTTATGATCTAAAGGAGACTGTTCTCTTCCAGTGACCATCACCCCAGGAGACAGGCTCAGATACAGGTATCCACAATGCAGAAGCGCTCACCCTCAGACTAAGCCTTTCCACATCTGCATGTGTGCTACTTGTGTGTGCACATCTGCATGCAACCAGTGGCGGAAATGAGAACAAAGCTGCATTAAACCTGGGAGCGATGCTTGTAGGAGAGATGTGGTACGTAAGCAGTTAAGCACCCGTGATGAGCAGCTGCTGGCCTCCTGAATAAAAAATGTTTGTTGAACATCACTCTCTCAGCCCAAAATAGGCACACATGCGCTCCCCACGCAGCCGCGGCGGCTGCACACTTTTACTTATACGCCCTCCACTTCTTAACGGCTCATAAAACATTCACAGGACCATCTGAAAGCACTCTTGTGAAATGTTCAAATTATACACCAAAATGCAGATGTGAGCAAGGCGAGCTGCATACAAAGCTGTTTGTTCTTAAAGCTGCAGCTGTCCCATTTCCCCACTGGAACTAAATCCTCTTCCTCTCTCAAGGTCCACACAAAACACTGCTCTTTCTTTCCAAAGGTCACCTGGGGCATTTCACACTTCCACCTCAGGAAATTCTGACAGCGCTTTGCAAATATTAAACATGCCCTCACTCACTTTTGCCTTTCTGCCTCTTCTGTGCAGAGGGGAGGACCCTCAGGATGGGGTTGGATACACCATTAAGAATTCCTCAACTTCTGCAAAGGCCCTCTTACCTGCCAGATTCCACTGAGTGGTGTGGTTCAACTGTTATAATCTTCCCCCCCTGTAGGACGGAGAGCAGCAGAAAGAAAAGGCTGTATAAGCATCACTTGAGAATATTTTTACGCTCTGTCATTAGCGCAGCTCCCTCCTCTGCACCACAGCCTCAGCTCTCCTCACAGCAGCCCTACTGCATCCTGCTTTCTTTCTGCCTTCTAAGACACAGTAAGGCCTGTCAGCTTTAAATTTAGAAAGCAAATCTGAATTTTGAAAACCTCCCTCCATCTTCCTCTTCTCCCTGCCCACACTCAGCCTTGCATTCCCCCTAGGACCCAGAGCTTTCCTGCCTTTCCTCCATCCCGAATGTTTAGGTCATTCACGTTTCTCCATAAGAAGACTAATGCTCCACCAAAGTCCCTACTGAACTGCTGGGAAGAAGGAACAAAAATGGAAACTGAGTAGGGCAAGATTTGCTGTTACTGCAAAGAGGGAATGTGGACAGGCAGGGAAAGTGAAATGAAAACCCTGGAGCTTGGTCTTCTTGCTTGCTCTGGAGAGGGTGTGTAGACAAGTGTTGTCACCCCTCAGTAAAAAAACACTGCTTCAACAGCTATAAAGGACTTTGCAAGCAAGGCACTGTATGGGCTGTGCCTGCTGCTGGAACAGCTGATCCCTGTCTTGTTTTCAAAGGGGACAATTTGTTGCTTCTAGTACTGACATGGTTTTCTTACAACAAGTTAGCCCTGTTACCACTGGTCAGTCCTATTAGTTTGTTCACGCTCCTCCATTTGCAGTCTCGTCGCTCCTCCTGTAATCCTCAAGTCCACATTTGGCAAATCTCTTTGCCAAATCCACATGCAAAGTGGTATTTGCTCCTCCTCCATTCTTTTTGTCGCTGCAATACCTGCTTTTCCAGGATTGAGCTTACTGCCCCCAAGGTATATTCTTTCCTGCTTCTCATCTTCCTGGACAAAAATCTACTTTCAGGCTTAATTGACTCCTACACATATTCCTGGCCACCTCTTCATCATCTTTGACTCACTTCCCAAGTCCTCTCGTCTTCCTATTCTGAATTCCTTTAATACAAGATAGTTTGTGGATTTCTTCATAGAAGTCGTCCCCATTTTCTTCTCTCAAATCCACAGTTTTGTTCAGGTCTAAGAAGCTCTGCATCTAGCTGCTTTGCTCCCTGACAGCTATCGATACCATTGGGGTTTTCTTCTTCTTCTTTACAGCCATCCTCACCTTCGCTAGATCTTATTGCCAACCTTTCACTCTTTGTTTTCCATTCAATATGTACATGCACTCCAAGTGTTGGAGTCCCATCTTGGCATCTGGCCCCTCCAGCAATTGCTCCATCTCACAACAACTTTCATTCACTCATCAAAACAGCTAGCCACTGTCAAGAGTGCCTTCCCTTCTTCTCCATTTTAGATCACCTTCAAATCTCTTTGCACTCCACGCTTCCACCCATCTTGTTCTCACCAGAGCCCAAATAAGGTTTGTAAGCAAAGCCCAGAGCCACTAACTCTTTTGCCCTTGGATTTCCTGGACTCCATTGACTTAGATAATGAACCAACATGTCCTTGAGATAGCTCATCTTCTCTTAGCTCCATGGCCATCCCCAACACAGCCTGTCTCCTGGATAAACTGCCTCAGCTTGCCTTGCCTCTGACTTTTTGTGGGTACCATCCAATGGCAAACAGAGTCCCCTGAGTAACTGCACCTGTATGCACAGATTCAGTCCGTTGCTTCTGCAATAGTACCTTGTGCTTCTGCTTCTTTGCTCCAAAGCTCCTGCTGTCTAAACTAAATTAACAGCTAGTATCTGACATCTCCGCTTGCATATCTAGCTGTCAGTTCTGATTTTATTATGCTGCTTTTGAGAGCAACTCCCTCTCCTTAAGATAACCCTTCACTATTTACTTTTTTGGTCATTGCAGGCATCCCTCTCCTGCTGCTGCAGATCTCACTGGCCAGTGAATCTGAATGTCAGTCTTTACCTCCAACTCCTTTGCAGGGTCTTCTGAGCCAGGCAGTGCCTGCATTTTCCATGCTTTCTGAGTAACAGCTCCGAAGTGTTACTCATTCTAGAGTAACAACCCACCCACCCAGCCAAGTTTTCATCCAAGCCCACAGCCATCCTGCAATAGTTTTCCTTTTGGCCTCAACATAAGGCAATCCTGCCCTACAGACTGCTGCATGAAAGCCGTTCTCCTAGTCCCTCACACTGGCCTCATCACTTTTCCTTATTTTGCTCTGATAGCTCCTCTTCTCCAACATATAAGACAGATTCTTCCTCTTCACTTTCAAAGTCCTGTTTGGCCTATCCACATTTTACTGATCCTCTTTGCCATCACTCAAAGGTTAACTAACTCCCACCTCCGATGGAGCCATGATTTCATGCTTCTCTGCTCATTTGTTCAGTCTTCAATCGACTCTCTTTAATGAAAAAAAAATAATAAATCAGTTCTTACAGCATTCCATCACCATTAGTGATTTTAAAATAGCCATAAAGGGTCATCATTTTCTGCTGTCAAACTCTCCCTAAAATCTGGCTTCACCAGAGGATCAACTAGCCAAGAGCTACAGGACATCAGAAATTTACCTGGCTACTCAATATTCTTATCGCTTCTCTGTCTGTCTTTCTCTTGCTCCATGACTTATCTTGGCTGATACCCTCTAAATAGTTACGTCTTTGCATTATACCGGCAGAAGCCCTAAGACAGAACAGTCCCAGTTTAGAACCAGCATCCTTACTCACCAATAATAATTCTGAAAACAGGAAAACTGAGATATAGAGGTGTGACTTGAGCAAGATCTTATAATTCTGAAATGTGCAATACCGAGTCAACATTTAATCATGAGGACACAAAAGAGCTACGAGTTGATCAGCCTGGTTTTGCCCCTCTATGTTTTCAGAGAAGCCATCATCTAATGCTGTGAGCTGCTTTGGAAGAACTATGTTGAAACTGCTTAGCTGTACCTATGATACCACCAAGGGCAAAACACAAACAAGCCCTCTAGTAACTGGACAAACACTAGCACCATGCCCTTAGAGCAAAAGGTTGGAGTCATGTCTCTTTTTGCCAGGGAGTTCACTCTCTTCAGAGTGAACTCCTTAAGAACTTAAGTGGACTGTTCCTAGCTTACATTTCACCGGGCAAATGCAGAACTGTTTGGTTCCAAGATGCCAAAAAGAAAGTAGTTTGGAGGGAGAGGGAAGAGGAGAGCGACTGGAGTTGCACTCCTGACCCCTCCCACGCCAGTCAGGGACAGCCAGAGACAGCAATCCTGTCTAGTCACATCCTGCTGACAAGCATTAAATACTCAGCAGGCACAGAAGGATACTTGAGCAGTGATGTTATTTTCCTGAGCTCCTCTGGTTTCAGGAATTCAGCATATACCCTTGGCAGGTAAGTACCCTTGAATTTGTTGCAGTATACCTCCCGAGCTCAGGCAGGGCACCCTCCCCGTCTTCAGGCTTCCACTCATGCACAGTAGCACAGCTACAAAACTAAGCAGCAAAGAGATGACACCGATTCCAAGACCAGACCCAAAAATCCACCTCTTGCTGCTCAGATAGAGGCAGCAGTTACTTATACAGAAGATGTCGGGGAGGGACAGGATGCAGAGAATATTCCTGTCATTCCTATCCAATCTAGGTCAGAACACCATTTTCTTTTTACTTCAGAAATTGAAGCTACTGCTGCCGATACACAATTATAATGTTCTGGGATTTCAATACCTTAATAAGCTGGAGCGTTATTATTTCCTTTTGTTTGCTCAGTATATTTAGCAAAATAATTATAATTCACTAGATTGTTTTCTTTGTTTTGGTATATTGGCAAAGTTCTCTCTCTCCCTCTGTTTCTTTTCATAGAAACTGTGGTGTCATTTTTTCATGCACATTTGGCGGGGGGGG